ATATATATATATATATATATATATATATATATATATATAGGAGTAGTTAACTAAAGTTAACTAAAAGTCCTTAAACATAGTTCCTGTCTTCTTACTTCGCTCTCGCTCGCTAACCTTACTTATACACTTAAGGATTATCTTAAAAATTAATTTCTCGTAGGCGTATCTATGCGCTAAACCCTTAAACCTACGTTCTCGCTTTCGCTACATCGATCTCGACGTCTCATCAAGTAGAAAAGAAAGTACTAGCATTAATAGTAGTAATAATTGTAAAATTACGGGCGAAAAAGGATCCGTACTGATGTAGTTAATTGTTACATTGGTCTATCGAATATACCTATATGCATATGTTCGCGAGCGATAACGCGCTTGTACAATCGACGAAGAGAAGTAACATAAAACGTACATCGAAGACGCGTAAACGAAAGAAATGAAAAGAAAAAGAAAAACTAGAGAGAAAAGAAGATAACAAACGTACACCGGTTCTTCCCCTCTTACCGCCGGTCGATCGATCGTTCGACTCTCCGCGTACTCGATCGCTCCTCTCCTCGAAAGGCACGAGAAATTGTTTAATTCCAAAGCCTCTTTTGCCTCGTATCCGCAAAGCTAAGAAATCCGCACATATCGCGTAGAAAAAAACTCGGCAGGGTTTTATAAGATGAAAAAGTGGTCGCGAAAACTCACACGGAAAGGTTACCGCCGTTCGTTTCGGTTTCTCTCTCTTTCTCTATCTCATCAAAGTCCTCGCGATTTCGTGCACTCGGTTCAGATCCGAGGAAGATCGGCGACGGGAATGACGGTCAGGAGAGGCCTCTGTCGTACCGGAGAGGCGTTACACGTCCCGGCCGTTATAGCGCATTGACGAGTAGATGGAGGAAACGAGCGATCGCAGAACGCCTTCCTTTTTTTCTATACTTTTTGTTTTCTCAGGACTCGGTCTACCGGATGTACCGACCGGCGTCGTGCTCGCTTACGCACTACGTCTACGAAGGAACAAAAGTCTGGGTACTCTGGGATATATTTGGCACAGATTAAACGGAATTTCTTGTTTTCTTCTTCAACTCGCGACGCGTCTCTTCGCGCTCGCTCGACGATACGACGAGAACACAGAAGAAGGGAATTTCTCTCACGCAGACACGCGCGAGAGGCGACGCGTCGAAACGATCGAACGACCGTCGATTTTTGTGATCCGACCCGCCGCCCCGCGGTGTTGCCTTAATATGTGTCAAATATTAAGCATCGCGCGCAGTTGTGTATTTTGATTCAATCTTGTCGCTATCGCTGCTGTTCTTATATGTTGTTGCTCAATATAGAGTCCGCTTTCTTTATATAATTGCTTACGCTCTGTCCAGTGGTAACCCCGTAAGTGTATCGAAAGAACATATATGCGTCATTGTAATATCTTAATATTTTTCCTTTCGCGTCATATTTTTTTTTCTTCGTTTCCGTAACAATGTAAAAAAAGAACGTAAATATTTATGTATACTCTTTATGTAATAATATATATGTAATATATATATGTATACCTATATATATGCATATATATATATGTATATCATACAGAGCGTACGCAGCCTTATCACGCTAGGAATATTATCGTGGTAGTTATTTGCTTAAGTCTAAAAAGGTCTTATATTACTAACGGGAGGAGAAACGCCCACTTCACGATTCATCTAGATTCTCCCTCTCTTTCTTCCTATCTACTTGTCCTCTCTTTCTTTCTATCTCGTGAAAAAGGGTGACTCTCCTCGGGGGAGGTTAAGGGGGGGAACCCTTCGAGATTCAAGCGATCTCGTGGCGATCATCGGAAACGATCTTGGGAGGAGGAATCGTTCGGTATTTACATGAGAGCGAATGTGTGGGAGAGAACGACGTTTCGACGATTCGGTGACGAGGATCCTTCCGTCGGGCTTCGACTCGGCTCTGACTTCGCCCAAAATAAAGTTTGTGTATCCGCGATCTTTGAATATCGCTTCGTCCCGACAAAAATCCCAATCAATGGCATATGATATTGTCCTCGGTACGGCTGTCAACGAGTGAACGCGTGCGCGCGTTCATTATAACCGAACTGCTCTGTTTTTGCTTCGCGAGGGACGTGACGCGCGGTCACTTCTTTCTAAGAAGCGCGCAGAGTAGGAACATACGTTAAAATAAAAAAAAAAAAAAAAAGAAGAAAGAAAGAAGAAAAAACGAAGAAAGGACACAAAAAGAACCAATTTCGTACCTTTCGCGACACAGAGTCCGGGGCTCATCGTATCGGACAAAGGGGGTCCGTTTGGGGATCGAAGATCGACGGGAACGGAGAGAGAGTGCCTCCTCCGTTTTCCAGCGTACTCGCACGCACAGGAGATCGCGCGATCGCCATCGCGATAGTGACGACCGCTGTCGTCTTTCACGTTTCCGCGGGCGCTCTCTCTTCATTTCTTGGATCGCTAGTGAGTGAGTGAAAAGGATGCCTCATTTCCGAATGAACCGCCGCGATAATGATGATGATGATATCGAAGATGATGATGCTGCTGCTGTCGAGCGGAGGTGGCGAGTACGTCGTTCCGTGTTGCATCCCGCTCAATGCGCAGGCCGCGGTGCGTTGCTAGATCACGAGTGCTTCACTACGATCACGCCCGGCCGTTGCTGGGTCTGCTGTTGCGTGTGAAACTGGAGGAAGTTGTTCACCTCGGCGTGTAGTAGCCGTTGCTTTGCGGACGTCACCGCCGACGTCGCCGACGGCGACGACGAAGGCGACGACGAGGAGGCGACGGCGACGACGGAGGAGGACGATGTCGCAGTCGCGGTCTTGGCCGACGACTTCGACAACGTTTGCTTGTTGGTCAGCGCCAACGGCACGTCTTGTGCGGGCTCATCGCTGAAGAGATGATCGCCTTCCAAATGACGTATCGCTTCGACAATCGTCTCCAGATTCTGTCGAGATGTATTCGCGATGTATAGCCTCGCTGCCTGCGGCGTACCGTCCTCCAGAGAATTCGATGGAGACGGCAACCTGCGATCAATCTTGCGTAAGTGTCGGATTCACGCCGATATTTATTCAACCGGCTAGGAGAGATTATATTTAACGTCTAATCAGCATGCGAAAAACGTAAGCAATAAGTCAATCAGCAAATCATTACAGTCGAAAGATATAAAAAGTGTAAGAAAAGTGTAATAATATTGAAATTATTGACTGTGACTACTTGGACTACTAGATTTGCTGCTTTAGTGTTTCTCTGACAGTTTAAATTGAATAATTGAATATTAAAATAAAAAAATAACTCAAAACAGTAATGCAGAATAAAGATTATTTGCATGATACGCTACATTTTTGTGTTAGAATCCTAAAGGATCTTATAATCTCTACGAATTTTGCGCGTCGAATATAATTTGAACTGCGAAATAGAAATAATAATAAACGCTAACGATGCGTACCTCTCCACCTCGACTTTAGGCTCAGCCTTCATAGCCGCCTCCAAGACGCTGGATAATCGTTGAGGGGGCTCCGCGCCAGTCGGCGAGAAGGACCTGCTAGGGCTCGCGGTGATGTACTGAGGCGAGGCGTTCTTGAAGTCCGCGTTAGACGACGCGTACGTGACGCGACTTGACGACGAGAAGGAGTCGGCGGTAGTCTGTTCCTCCATCGCTGTGAATACCGGATTCTGAGCGAAGGTGACGATCTTCGGGCTGCCTGGGCGCGACTCCTCGTCTTTTATCTCCTCGTCCGCGACCAGGTCGGTCGGTTGCGGCGACAAAGGCGGTGAACTCGGGTCCGGGCTGGAGGTCTCCACGGTTTGAGTAGAGCCCACCGGCGGCAGAGACATGACTGACACCACCTGGAGCGACGCCACAGCTTCTTCCGTCTCCTGTGCCATGACGTTGTCCGTGTGGTCGATCACCTGCTAAAGCGATGTTTAACGATAAGCAAATTATAAGGGACTATCTCTCCTCGCGACGGAGGAGAACGAGCGAATCGATCAATTAGTGCGCGTGAAATGTGCCGTTACGCATAGGAACAAAAACCGATTCGATCGGAATAATAAAATGCGTTGGGATGTGTTATCGGACGCGGTTATCTCGCTATGCAATTAAAACAATGTTTGCAATATCATTCGCCCGGGGAATGTTTAAATCCTCGAGGGTCAAATGGGTTCGCGCAGTTCTCGGCTGAGTTATATCCCGCGTCACGTAGATACTAATCTCACGGCACCGAAATTGCTCGAGAGCATTTCGCACGATCTGTCTGCGATACTTAAGGTTCAAAAGTTCAGTAAAGTTTAGCTTTGGCGTTCAATCTAAGGTGCATGGGTTTTTTCGTGTCGCCCTCAATCGAATAGCCTAAAAAAAAGAAGGATGAGAAAGAACGAATGTTGCGATTATTACCTCATGCGTCTGATAAGTCAACAGCTGATTGTCTCGGAATCTCTCTGGGTACAGCTGGTTCTGGATCTCTCTCATCTCCTTCTCTAAATGCAGTCTCGCGTGACGCTCCCTGTCCAATTGTCGTCTGAGTTCTGACACCTCACTGTTCACGACGGAATGTCCCTCAGTGGTCACCGCGATTACCGACAACGGCTCGGGGGACATGCTGCCTAAGCCCTCGTCGCCGCTTTCGTTGACATGCATCGGTAGATTGACGACGACACCTGAGAAACGAAGGCACGTGTGGATGAGCGACCGGGTCGAAAGATTTCCGAGACCAGCTCATCTCCAGGATGAACTCGTCGCGGTGTCTTCTTCTCGTATCCGTTTGTGCATTTTATTCACATCGCACAGTTTACAATATGAGAATACTGAGTATCTCTTCTTATGCGCGTTGCGCGATATGATTGGTTGTATTTTGCCTATAGTTGAATTGAATCATTAAACGAAATGGACATTCTCATTGAGAGAGGAAGAGAGATTGCTTGGCCTCTGGTTTTCGAATTGGCGCCGCGTCCTTTATGGATTCGTTTCTGACGTATACCGTCGAAATAAGCACCATACTTCGATCGTAATTATCGATAATTCCGGTAATTGCTTGGTCCAGAAGCTTGTACATTGCATGTTGCCGCGTGAGATTTATAATTCACGACTTAGTATTCAATAGAACACAGAAATACTCAATCATTTAGTTTCTACTGCAATAGGCCAAAATTGTATATCGTCGAAGTAAACACCGTATTTCGAACAGAATTATGGATAATTTTAATTGGCTTGGTCCACTACATGTTGTCGCATAGAATTTATAATTCTCGACTTGGTATTCAATAGAACACGGAAATGCTCAGTCATTTGGTCTCTACAGTGACTGATGGAAATTATATATCAACCAAATAAGTATCGTATTTCGATCAGAATTATCGATAATTCTAACTTGCTTGGTTTGTCTTCCAGATTAACGCCGCATTCTTCGCTTTATTTCTTCAGTAGATGAACGACTGAAAACTACAATCGTTTCTCTACTGAAGAAACTCTTTTGAAGACACGAAGTGGGGTGCTCGCGAAATATCGGAAACGTTTCCGCGAAGGACACAGCGCCAATCCGGCAGCCAGACTTCAAGCATTTCGTCACACCGCGCAAGTCTGAAAAATATCGATGGATTTCTTATTTTCCTTTTAATATCCAAATTTCTTATGATAATTCAATAAAAAAAATAACATCTTTTGTATCACCCTAATAGTGCTGGCCATCAGTAACCGTCGCGGTACTCAATGTGTTAGTCAACTGCCAGAATCGTCACATGTTAAAGAAAAAAGAAACGGCTTTGGGTAAAAATAGCTGGACGCGCTTTCATGAGATTGCTTTCGGAGGAGACCCACAAATTTCCATTACAGCTGGCGAACGACCACGACGGACTTGCTCTCGCGGAAATGCATTTCAGATTTCCAGTGTGGGTACGTCCATGTCGATCGCGATGCATGCGAATGATCGCGGGGCCACGAATGAAATTAAATCTGGTCGCAGTTTACGATATACAGCGACGAATAAAGTGACCGTCGTAGCATTTGCACCGTCAAACGTCGAGGTTCATTTGTTTCGACGTTATATCACTGCGAAATGAACGCGATGATGTTGTGCGCAGAGTAGCCCGGTTACAATCGCGCGAGAGCGCGCCCGTTGTTCCTGAGTTTTGCGTAACGCGGCGAATGCACAAGCTGTGTATACAATAGCGTTCTTGCGAACATTTTCGATCGACGGGGACATTTATTAATTAACGCTGCCGTGTAATTTCCGCGGCAACGACAATTGCGATCATCGGTTATTGTTGCCAATGAGAAAGAAACACATCGATACATTCGCGTCGTTAGTTTCCATTTTTGACGAGTCGGGGGACGAGTAGAACGGCCGGGTAGAAGCACGGGAGATGCGTATATAGCGCAAATTTAAAAAAGATTTAATGTTAAATCGTTTACAACGCGACCTCTCGATCCCCCTGGACTGAACTGGATCCGTTGCATATTTTTACGCGAGTAATGCACGTCGTTTTTTCTCGTTAATACAGTACATAAACCATTTCCGCAAATATTGCTCCCTCCGTCTCCATTTTCTCTTTCTCTCTCTCTCTCTTTCTCTCTGGTATCCACTTCGCGTCACTTCCACTGGTCGCGTTCAATCAATTAATTCTTCTGTTATGTACGCGATCACAATAATGGGAGAAATGTCACATAATGTACGGATAGACGTTTAATATACGCGCCACATTCGATTTTTCGAGTATTTGTCAAACGCGTAAAATATGTATATCGAGCAAAATAATTGGTTTTTTTGCGTATACAGAGAGTCTGGATTTAAGTGTCCGAGTGTACTAATGTACACGTAGAACTCGTTAATTTAAACTAAATAAAAAATCTTGTTTTATTTTGTAAATAACTACAATAATTATTACCTTCTTTTGATCCATAGTAACAATATTAATCTCGTCATTGTTACAATAGACGAGACGAAGAATCTGAACGATTCAATCGCGAAAGAAAAAGATTGCGTGTGTTTGCCATGTTCTAATATATCACAATATTCGACTCTTTCGAATGAGCAATAAAGGAGCAGTGTAGACGTGTGCGGGAACCAAATAGATTACTTTTTGTTCCATGTCGTTACATCGTCTTATTCCCGAATTATAGCCGTTTAAAGCCGTTTAAAGCATCGATTTCAGGTATCGGTTCGGCCCTCGCTCAAGACGCTGGCTCTTTCTTCGCTGAAGTAAGGTAAACGACCGCATGGCCACCACGACCATGTGGCTGAAGAGGTCACGTGGCTGAAGCGAGCATGCTTAAGGCTGCGTTCCGTTATTTACTGCAAGTACTGTCAGTACTACCAACAGCGTTCTTAAATAGGTTAACAGTAATACAGTGCACTGCGAAAACACTTCAACGAGTTTATGACGTCATGAATTCTGATGTCACTCCCTGCTGCGGCTGCTACAGCTGGAGAAGTAAAGCAGTGGCAGCGTAAGGTGGTGCGTTCTCATTTTTCACCTTGCAGCACCTCGACTGTGCTCAAAGTTAAAACGGAACGTTACTAGCAGTATACTTTCATGACGTCATAGAGTCAGTACTCGCAGTAAATAAAGGAACGCACCCTAAGTGAGTCGCAGAGATCTCGAGCAACATTACGATGACTTATTATCGAGCTGCAATCGTTTAAACTCGCAATATCGACGTCAGACATAGCGTGCCATCTGCTGTCGCGTCGACACACTATATTGTAATGCTATCCTCTTCTGAAAGTGAGTTGAATGACCGCAAGCCGGAGCAAGCAAGAGGCTAGAGCAACCATCCTTGCCGCGGAGTGGGGATAGCGAGCCGCGATCGCTGCGTCCCGTTAAGCCCGTATCACACTAGCGATTGGCGATTGATGATTGACGATTGAAGATTGAAACTTGACCAATTGGAACAAAGCAAGCCAAGGTTGAAGCTCGTTGATTCGTCAAAATCTAATCTTCAATCGTCAATCATCAATCGCCAATCGCTAGTGTGATACGGGCTTTAAAGGCCAAATCACACTAGCGATTGGCGATTGACGATTGACAATTAAATTGACAATTGGTTCCACTAACGATTGGCGATAGATGATTGACGATTAAAGATTGGAACTTGACCAATTGGAACAAAGCAAGCCAAGGCTGAAGCTTGTTGATTCGTTAAAATCTAATCTTTAATTGCCAATCGTCAATCGCCAATCGCTAGTGTGATTTGGCCTTCAAGCCCGTGTCACACTATGGATTGGAGATAGAGGATTGCGGATTGAAGATTGAAACTTGACCAATTGGAGCCAAGCAGACCAAGATGCATTGATTCGAAATCTAATCTTCAATCCTCAATTTCCAATCCGTAGTGTGACACTTTAAGGTCGTTCTACATTAGTTGCAAGTCGATTGCAACTCTTGTTGCGCCAATTAGAAACGTCAATAGCACTATTGATGCTTCTGATTGATTGTCGCAATAAGAGTTGCGTCTGCTTGCGATCGGCTTGCAACTAATGTAGAACGACCTTTACGCGCGAGATATCGCTTCCCAAAATAGCCTCGCTGAATTGTTTACGCGGAATTGTTTGCGGCTATTGTTTACGCCTACGCGTTGCGCCATAACCTACCCCAAAGTGCGCGAAAGGGTTAATGCCGGCCGATTGAGCGCGCGGATCAATACAAACGTCAATAATTCTACTTGTAGACGTCGTAGCGACTTGAAACGAAAACTGTTGGAAAGGGAAAATTACCGCGTTTCTGATGAACGTGAAATCGTTCTTTGAAATAAGGATCAAATAGCGCAATTATATAACTATGAAAAATACTGATTCTTGTGCTCGCGTTAAAGTGAACATTACGTTAAAAACCTATGGAAGATCTTGCCATGGACTTATAGTGCGAAGCGTCAGTTTTATTTCTGACACGTAAAAATTGCAATTTAATAAAAACAAGATGATAATAACGGGAACTTTTCTAATTCAGGTATACATATTTCTGCAGGTTTTCTAGAAAGAAAAAAAGACTTTGCAATGTACGCGATTTGAAAATATTAAAGGAAAATCTAGTTTTACTTCGGATAACTCGTGCGAGAAAGTTTACGAATTAATTTGTCCTAAGTACATACAAGTTTGATCAAGAAAAAGAAAGAGAAGAAAAAGAAGAACGTTATTTCACCGGGTCGGAGAATCGTTGTAAATGCCGCGGTTGATATTTGAAGACAATAGGGCGGCTAACCACGATTGATCGATAAAACTGGGCTCGTCGGCATTAAATCCGCTTCGTCGCACAGCCGTCGAACTTTCTGAATATCGCCGTACCATCGACGGAGGAAACTAATTTACGATAGAACCGGAAATTGAAATTGTCCCAGCCGAAGTTCGCGACAGATACTTTCCGGCGGGCGCATCGCCGCGACGACGACGGCGACCGACGTTAGCCAAAACGCCATCGGCGCGTCGAGAGTGAGAAAGGCAGAGAAAGCGAAGAAGCACCCTTAATCCACCCGTTGTATTTAGCCCTTCAAGTAATAACGACTTTTGTGAGCGAACAATCGACGACGAGGACAACCGCCGTTTTGCGAGCACGATTCCGTCATTTTCGCCTTTCGTCGTTCTTAACGACGAGCGCGCAATGACGTGTCACGAATTAAGTCTGTCGCGCTTACGTTGAAGTAGAAAGTTAAGAAATATCATCTAATTGATTCATTGCATGCACAGATTTTATAACCATTTCATATGTAAAAGCGGTGAAAATCGGAGAAAATAATTATATCGTTTTTGCGAGAATAACATCTCGATTTCTTAAGAGCCTCTTTATCCGCGATAAATCATAAATCATGTCAATTTGCGTAACCCGTTGTCCTTTCCCGCTGGAAAAGCCTGTACACTTCTTCGGCACGATACCGAGACCGGGAAGAATGTAATTACTTTCGAGAAAATGACGAACGGCGCGCGCCCACATTGGGTTCATCGTCGTCGTCGTTTTCGTCGACGTGGGAGAGATTAAAAAATTCCTGGTTGTAAAATTTGTCATTTTTTTTGGCACCAAATACAGTCGTTCGCGTATCGATTCCATGATTCTGCCAAGAGAGAAAGAGATATCACGCTAGACTTTATATATATTCTAACGATACACACACGTTTGTATTTCTGCCGCGATAGGAGCGCGGAGAATCTTCAAAGTCGCGTTCAAGAATGCCAGCGTGTTATTTATTTACCCACGAGCTCGGAGATGGTACAATTCAATTTCGCGATTGAAAAATAACTTACGATGGCAACTTCGACGTTATACCGGTATATGAACGCGAGAGCAAACCGTGAAATAAGCGGATTGCAAACGTATATCCCCGGCAAACTTCTCGCGCACCGCACCGATTGTTTCCGCTTTTTGCTTTTATGATCCCGAATCCGCGCATCGGGGTGCGCTGCAGCCGCGCGCGGTCGCGCGGGCGATAAATAATTCAAGCCTATTTGGAAAATCTCGTTATGCGACGAACGATAAACGTTAATTCCGTCGCGCATCGTGAATATAAATGTTTGCGCGCGAGCGAGCGAGCGAACGACTACTGATACGATGTTTTGCCGATGCATTTTTATATTATCGAGCGCGTTTCGCTTTCAATGCTAATAGCACTTCTTTCAATACTTTCTCCCCTCCCCCCCCTCTCGCGGTTTCTCCTTCTCTGAGCGAAAAACTGAAATAATCTACATGCTTCAAGGAAAATAATCTTTTGTAGACAATAATAAGCAATTTCTTAGAAATAACGTGGAATTACCTTGAGTGTCGGATTTGCGCTTCTTCGGCAAATCGCCGCCCTCGTGCTGATTCACCAAGCGCTTCAGGTGACAATTTTGCGATAGCAGTTGAGTCTTCTCCTGCTCCAACTGATAAATGTACTCGGCAGTCTGTTGGAGTATCGCCGCCTGCGCAAAGAAAACGAGAGCGTTACTTCGCAACACGCGCATGAGCGCACTTGATCGCGACGTAAAACGTGTGTCATCGCATGTCGAGCCATCGTCCGAGATTTTGATCGACACAGGAATATCTGGATGGAGCTGTTCCTCTGGACAAGGGATACGAGGAACCGATGGAGCGGTGCTCGAAGGAGCGCTGTCCGTACGTGAGATAAGAGAAGCAGAGGGAGCGGGGGAGCACGACTTCCTGTTTACGTACCGCGAGCTTAAAGGGTTTTACGTGATGACGGAGGAAAAGAAAGGGACGTACCACACCGGTACGGAGTCGATAACATCCGGGGGAAGGTTATCGCGTGTCCTGTCCTGTCGTGCCGTGCGTGCGTGCGTGCGTGCGTACGTGCGTGCGACGTGCATGCGTACACACGTTCGTACGAGCGCGCGTACTACGTCGTAGTAAAACGGGAATGACTTCAAGGAATAAACCGGCGAAAACAAAAGGGACGATTGATACCGTGCGCGGGGTAACGGGCTCGGGTGTACGGCTCGCACCTGCCGACAGGTGGTTAACGAGCAGATGCTCTCTTCTCCCGTCGCCACGGCTCCCCGACCGTAAATGCGGGAACAACGTGGTGCGCGTCGCGTCCTTTCCACGAGTGAGCGAGCGAGCGAGCGAGCGAGCGAGCGAACGGCCGGTCCTTCGCGTTACGCCGTGTCGAAACGTCTCGCGATTATCCCCACGGGGACGCTCTTTTTTTCGGAGCTAATTGGACACCGGCCGCGAGCAACCGACATTGATAGCGTGCGACTTCTGCGCGTCGACCTTGCCCTCTGTACATGTTCAACATACATTGGCAATGGAATAACATCGTGTACGAAGAAGAAACGACACTGCTCGAAAGGAGAAATCGAAAGAGCTTACGGATTAACGTATGCGATTAATCATCTCTCCTTCTCTCTTTCTCTTTCGCTTATGGTGACACTTTGGAAATGCAAAGTGGAAATGATAGTCGGTCAATTAAATGCTCCTGAAAATAATTTGTCGCACAGGGGCACAGATCATCCTTTATGCCGCTGTTAAAGTTTCCTTATTTTATCCGTGCGGAATATGTATTCGATCGAAAACAATGAAAAAGTACTATGCAAATGTGAGTCCAGCGCAGACAAAAGTGGCTAAATGGAACATGATAAGTAAATTCGGCGTCGCATCTCATTTCCACGCTTCGTGGTGAATTAATCATCCACATAGCTACATAAGCGAGCGCGATGAGATCGCGAGTGTACACTCGTATGAGGAGATCCCGAACCCGAGAACACGTGTCGGGAGTGTAGTAGTCGCCTCAGATCGCCCCGATTATTAAACAAGTCAAACTCGATCGGCCCGCGCGCGTCTCGAGAGCGTGCCGACATAAAAGGAAATATTACGCGCGTACGAAGAGACAAACGATAACTCGTTTTCTCACCAGCGCGAACGGGCGAATAATTCACGCTTGATAAATCCCGCTGTCAAAGAATCGCGTTTCTCGCCGGGATGGAGGACGCAAAAAAGCCGCACGATCAATCCGACGATAAAGAGGAAGAGTACGTGGTGGAGGAAGTCTTGAATAAGCAATTGGACACCGATATGAATTACCGGCACGAGTACTTGTGGCGGCGTGTTCTCATTCATACGACCCTACAACTGTCGTGGCTCATAGGAATGTACATGATAATCTTTCACGCGAAACTGGCCACCATTCTTTGGGGTAGGTATAGACCAACCACACCGGGAGAATTCGCAATGGCAATATGCATCTCATCTCATTTCAAATAAGGCAGTTTTAGAATGTCTCACTAGAAATTTCCGATCAGCTGATTGCAGCTGTTGTCTAATTTGCACAATGTAATGTTGCTGTACAGAGAAAAAATATAAAAATTCGTGTGGGATACAAATATATATATTTCTGTGAATAAACTTTATATCTCACAAGTAAATTTTCAAGTGTTTTTTCTCAATACGGATCCTGACAAGTCATGTAACGTAACGTGGCAATCAGGATCTTATTAATGATAAGGATTATTAATATCAGGATTACTAATAATTAGGACAGAATCATATAGGATAAATTTCTAGATGGGTACATATAGACGAGGAAGAGCTAGAAAAGTCCTCCTTCCCTTATAGGAAAGTATCACTGGCTGTGATAAATTGGCCAGTAATAAATAGTAATTTTATTACTCGTACGAGTAATAAAATTATTGAACGACAGTAATTATCGCTGGCCAAATTATCACTTATCAGTATTAAATTTCTATAAGGGTTCTCTTTTTTTTAAAACTAAAATATTGCTTAAATAAAATATCACGTTTAAAAGGTCTCGCGCAATGGACTAATTAATAATCTGTAAACTTTTCAGCGATCTTTGTCGGCTTCTGGGTCTCCGAGGGTGTCGCGTTGGGTGCGCATCGCGGTTTTAGTCATAATCAGTTCAAGATGTCCAAAACGCTAAAATTCATCCTTCTTTTCTTGCAGACTATGTCAGGTCAGGTAAATAGAAATCGCGGCGAACGCACATTCGCGGATAAAAAATTCCCGCGAACAAAAAAACAAATACAGGATCTTTAACTCGGTCCTGCGACCGCGGCCCGTTGTCGTCTCACGAACGAGTTTCGCTTTCATTTCAGAACAGCTTGTACAATTGGGTTAGGGATCATAAACTTCATCACAAGTATAGCGACACGGACGCGGACCCTCACAACGCCAGCAGAGGATTCTTCTTCGCGCACATAGGCTGGCTTCTCGTCAGCAGGCATCCGCTCTTGCTCGAGAAGCAGCGGCAAGTCGACATGTCCGAGTTTAAATCCGACAAATTGATCATGTTCCAATACAAGTAAATCACGAAAACTACTATTACTATTTCTGCTACATCGTTATCGAACGTTCCCGCGACTCGGAGATTCGTGCGGATTTCGTTTCCTCAAAAATTTAAGTTCTCGAATTCTCACGTTCTCTCTTCTTTCACAGTAACCAAACAGACTCGACTTCGCGCGAGGCGTAACACGATGACGATTTTTCAGTTACTTCCTGCAAATCTACTTCGTCGTGGCGGTCCTGTTCCCGGTGGCGATACCAATGTACTTCTGGAACGAGACGCTATGGTCGTCGTTCTTTGTGGCGTATTTGTGGCAGTACGTCACCAACCTCCACATAGCTTGGACCATAAACTCGTTCGCTCATTTGGGGAGCATCAAAACTTACGACAAGTAAGTTTATCATCTCACAATATACCTCATCGTATCGTATCGCATACCCGCGACATTGAACCTCTTGACACTCGAACTTTACACTCTTATGACTGGGCCACGCAACGCGAAAGCTCGGCCGTGCTATTCGCGAGTTTGAAACACACGTCGAAACTGTGTTTGTTTGAAATTTGACTTCGCGGATCAATGTGTTTTCAGGAGAATAAGAGCGAACCAGTCGCTGTTCACTTGGATCGTAACCATCGGCGAAGGTTGGCACAATTTCCACCACGTGTTTCCTTGGGATCACCGAATGTCAGAACCAGGGCAAATAAACGGCATAAGCACAAAATTACTCCATGTCTTCGCTTATTTGGGACTGGCTTCGGATCTGAAGGTAGCTTCGCCCAGCGTCGTCTACGGACACATGAAGAGGCACGGAGACGAAACGGGAAAGAAAACCTACCTCGAGAAATGCGAAGAGCGAAACGATCTGTTTGAGAGGTTATCGACGATGATGATGTTGGGTTAAATCATAACGTACCCGAAGACCTTAAGGCTCATAATTAAAACAGAAACATATTCAAGCGAATTGTATGTAAAATATAATATCGACGGAAGGGCGTACAGGATAATAATCGAGTGGTATCGCGAGCGGCGAGCGTGATAAAACGACTGTAGCAGATCAATGTAAACCCTAAATAAAGCGCTGCTGTGCACCCGCAGTAGGATTAATTACGTAATATTTAATCGGTGCGCGAGCTCGATGCCGAGCAATTAACGTGTGAGGCGTGAATTCTCCCCTGGAAATTCACGTCGAGATATTCACGAGTGTATCCACTCGTCATCAATTCGGCCATTTTCCCCTCGAGAAACGTATCCACCAATTTCATTAGAAGCGGGCGTAACGAAAAACATGACAAAAACGAGGCTAATATCATCGCGAAGGAGGAGAAGTTCGTTGACTCGCATTAATTACCTAACGCACTTCACTCATGCGAGTCCGTCAGGAAGGTCGCGAACGCTACAACCAGCTTTTGCTTTCTAAAGAGTAAAATAAAAAAAGAGTCCTTTTCCTTGCCGCTCTTTTTCTCTCGGAAAGGTTAACGCGTCGCGATTACTACAAGCCGGGAGACCACGGCTCTCTCGGTCCGACTTCTCCAACGCACGTGCCGAAATGTCGTTAATACCGCTCTACGAAAGCCAACGACGAGCCAAGGCCGCTTCGCCCGCGGCGACGGCGACGGCGTTTTCCGCAGGTAACGATTTATGGCGGCGGCAGACGACCCGTCCCTCTCCTCTCTCTCTCCCCTCGCCTTCTCGAATAAGCCGGGAATGACGCGTCCGCGTGTCTCTGCACGCCGTGTGCTAATAACGATTCTAATCTAGAGACGTTTCCGACATCAAATTTCGTTCGAGGGAATCGATAATTTAAAGATTCTTGGAGAAAAACGAATAATCTAAAATATAAAAAATATTGAAAATTGATCAACGAAAAAACTAATCGAACTTCTAATTGTTTATGTGAATTCAAAAGATTCGGAGAACTCTCATTTTGAAATTTCGGTGCTTCTGCATTTAATGGTAGTGGTAATTACGCAACGACGAAGTAAATTGGGAAGGACAGAGTAGAGTTTTACGTGACACGTTTCCGATCGTTGGCGTTCTCGTCGGCGCATCGACTAAAATTTCGGGTTTCGCGACAGCTGCGATCGCGTCTGAATGGGGTGACGGATGCAGCCCGGTAGGAGACGTAAGACGCGGAAGAAGGGCGAGCGAATAATGCGCAGCTGGCGATCGAAGGAAAGGAAAACTCGCACTGAAACGCACGATCGCGTGCCCGAGTTCGCGACCCCACCTGCTGAACTCGTTTCCGCGAAGCAGGGCCACAACTGTTCCTCCAATCATCCTCGGCTACATGTATCGCGCGAGCAGGTATTTTCTACGACGAAATAACCAAGTTAAACGCACGCAAGAGATAACACCTAAACAGACCATCCGTCCGAACAATTAGACACGCGGTGCATTCGATATTCATCAAGACGAACGACAGATTAATAAAAATACAAATTCTCTACCAAAAATCCCTTCAATTGAGATGTATTTTTGCTGTATCATGCGAGACAGACGCCACGATATACATGGAAACGCGTGTACGCGTAGAAAAAAAAAAGATTTTCAACCGCGTGGAGAGACAGGTCGCCATTCTCGTGGCACGACGTGCCTCAGCGGCGTCGTTGTGCACGCAACGTAGTAGATACACGTAGGCCGTGGCATTCTACGACTGGTTACTACTACTACTACTACTACTACACTATTACTATATTCGTCCCTCGCCCTTCTGACCGCCTCGCGCTCGCTCCCTTTCACACTTTCTCCCTCTTCCTCTCGCTCCTTCCAGCGAAGGGCTCGCTCTCCTCGCCGAGTCTTTCCTTCTTCGGCCCGCGGGAACTTTCCCGTCGAGGGTCTCCCCGCCTCGGCGATGGAACCGAATCGCTTTCTTCTTGTTGCAACGACGGCGGCGGCGGCATTCCAAAGCATGGACGCGCCGATGCACTCGAGAGCTGAGAGAGGCAGAGAGAGAGAGAGAGAGAGAGCAGTCTACCGAACTCGCCCTCATTCGACTGCATTCGCGATCCTTTACGATGCCTCGCGAGTCCAACAGGAATTTCCCGCTATCACTATTACCCTATGTCCTATTGTTCCCGTCTGCACCATAGCCTACGTTCCACATCGCGCTCCTTTCGGCTACAAATTGCCGTCGCGCGATCACAGGCGCTCGATAGAAACGTAATCGAGAGATAGTACAGTATCGTGTGCATCCTTGGAAGATGACAATCGATGCGTCGCTGGAACTCTCTCTTCCTCTCTCCCTCTTTCTCTGCCGTTCTCTTATCGATAAAGTCGACAGTCACGCAAAGTTGCTTACTCCTGCATACTTCGTAGTTTAAACTTTTACGTTACTCTATTTTTAGACTTTACACACGAAGCTAATAACGGGCCCGTTTGCTTATATTAATCTCTCTATTCAGCGCGCCTCGACAAACTTACGTTAATCCACCTGCATGAAAAGTTCCTCGCGATTTCCACACGGCCTCGGAAGCGGTAACAAGCCGAAATGCGACGAGATGCTCAATTAGTGGTCGGAGGAGAGTCAAAGGTTCACTCAACATCTCATATTAAAATCCAACTGCTGCGCGCACTATCTCCAAGGGCTCTCCCCGTTCCGGAAGGAACACGACGCGGGATCGCGGTGATTAATCGTCGTTACCGCATCGTGCATTTCCCGCGCTTAATTACGCAAGACGTACGAACGAAAATTTTCGAGCAGGGCGGAACGGCGCCAATGATTCACCGGGGCAATACGCCGCGCCGCGACGCCCGCCGTCGCCGTCGTAGCTCCACGTGTGTTGTTATTATTATATCGTAATTACCCCGCTTATAAAAGCGGCAGAGCTCGCTGGCGAGCGCGTTCCCGGCCGGCGTGCAAAAACACGGAAGGCGCATAAAATTAACATTCCCCAAAGCCATTCGACAAGTAATTGGCTGTAAGTCTTCGCGTCGTAATAATAGAACGCGTCTCTCTCGCTTTAATCTCGAGGTAGGCGCACGCATATGTGATGCAAGCCGACACAAGCCGACACACATATTGTCTCTACAAAATACGCGAGTGGAAAGAGATCTCAAGCTTAAATTTAAATTTAATAACCTTAAATCTAATAATGTTAGATTCATCATGCTCCTCTTAAATTCGCGGTTATATACCCCCGGTTCTGTCGCGCGTATACCGCTTTCTGGTCGTAAGAAATTCTTCCTGAGAGACGATAAGTTTCTTCTCATCCTCGCTACCCTTTGTCTCTGCTCTGCCTGTTTCGAACTTTTTTTTTCTCTTCGCCTTACCGATGTCGCAATATGTCGCGAGTTTCGCGAAGGAGAGAGTCGAAATATGGGCGTACACACAAAGTCCGTAGCCTAATTAGGATGCCCGGCGATGAGGTAACGAGGAAGCGAGGTCAGACCGCGTGTGTACGATCAGGGAGAAGTAAAAAAAAAAGGCCCCGAGAGGACCGCGGTAGTTTCTCGAAGCGCCTTCTCGGAACCCTTTGTGACCGCGGCGGTTATATGCTAAGTAAGCGGCTCCGCGTCGGCACCAAAGACGAAACCAGAGATGCCAGAAATTCGAACCGGCCACGACGACGACGACGACGGCAGTGGCAGCGGCGGTGGCAGCGGCGGTGGTTGGGGCGAATCGCTGAACCGGACGTTGAAAGGAGACTAGTGTCGTTTTCGTTTATGGTGACGAAATCGCGTAACGTGTGGGCAAAATGTTACAGAGTCGCGATTACGTCGCTCGACCCTCCCAATTTAGACGGACAACGGGCCCAAACCCGGCGTGCGCTAACAAAAGCGGCCGAACCGCTACCTCCTACTCGGAAGTTTGTTCGGTAATCTTTCTCACGGGAATTCGCTTCGCAATCCTCTTCGCGAAGCGCGCGCTTTCATTGAATTCGAAAAAAAAGACAGACGAATTATTTTTTAGTGAAACTTTTCTGATTAAACGTTTCGCAAGCCGCGCTTGGTATGGAAGAAGCGGGTCTATGCGCGAAACTTTTCATCGAATTTCGCAACGGCTCACATAGTGGAATCACGAAGGAGAGAATCGAGGATAGTAGTATCGACGATCGGACGAATTTTTTTACCTAATCGGCGGTCGGAAGCGGAGCCAGCGCGCTGGCGTAGAGGACCGCGTCGCCCATTATTCGCGCAGCCTGCGCAACATATAATTTCTAGTGTAATCGCACGGCTATTATCGGAGGACGCGCAGCTCGCCCGCGACGCTCAAGCACGCGCGCGCGTATGATATTCCGCGAAGATATTTCGCTTCGCTGTACGGTCTATTACTCCACTAGGGCGAATTATAAATCGGTCGCGTTTGTTCGTCCGTCACGGTACATTGCGGCGAAGCGTCGCGGCGCCAGACGTCGTCGGCACGCAAGCACGTCGCGTCTCTCTCGCTCTTCCGAGCGGCCGCAGAAATACGAAAATACGTTTCCCGCGAAACGCTTCCCGCCGTCGCGCGTCTGCCTCCCTCTCTCCATCTATCTATCCTCTCCCTTTCTCTCTCCTTTTCTTCCCCTGAATTCGCCTTTTTACATCGCGCTCCCGAAGCGCTATCGCCGCGCTGTAATTAAAAACGTTTATCGCCGTCTCCTTGTACACCGGGGAGAAACCACTGTGACACTGCGAGCGCGCGAACGATATTCGCGAGTATTACCTCCCCCCCCCCCCC